GAGTTATGCTAGTTAAGGCCTGAAAATTACTCATCCAGAGCATAACCATAGATCAGTTAATTAGATTCTTATACTTGATTTTCTAGATGATAGGAGTAAGAAATTTGCAAATAGAATCAGTTAATAATAGAAAAAAGATGGGATTGGTGCTCCAAGAATACTTGAGTTAATAACCGGGTTCCTACCAATACCACAATTTCACAATTTTGTTCCTCGGGTAATAATACTAACTTTGGATGACAACATGGATGCTCTACTGTAAAAAAAAATGATGCGTTACTTCACTATACTGTGATATTATAATATCAATACATCCATTGTACAAGGACACACATTCTGTTATACTTTATATTATTCATCGCATTTGTATTTTATATTATTTTTTCTTGTTTAAGTTTATATAATATGCAAAATGTTATGTATAGAATACTTATTAACAACCTATATGCTATTACTTATTATTAAACTTCATATTTAGCTTGTACCACTCTAAAAAGCAGAAGTCGTTAATTTCATTAAATATAAAATAAAATATGCACATTTTTGTCATGGAAAATTTAAATTAAACTGTTTACGAAATCCGATTATTTGGAAAATTAAAATCCTAAGGACTTGAAACGTTTATATGAACGTATTATAACTATTTCAATGATGAAATACATTTATGTAAATCAAACACACATTTGAGGCTAAACAAAAAAAACATAAAATAAAATAAATGTGTTCGATGTATTCGTATTAAGAAAATGATTTAATTTAATTATATCATGCCTATTTTAATACAATTATTTAATCATGATTGTTAGTTTATCTATAGAAAAATATAAAATTATAGTGTCTGATTATTTATCCAGGTTTATCTTCGAAACGGTTGAACTCATTTTGATGGGAGTTTCACAGACCGTAGACAGGTAGAGGATTTAGTAGTGATCCGGGCTATTTTTTATCCTGGTAATGTTTATGTTTCCCACGTAAAAGTTTAAAAACTGCCATGGAATTAGTGGAAATTTTTAACTGTCACAACTATCATTAAGTTCAAAAATGTATTTTTGTAATGGATTAGATCTGGATCTATTTATCCAACAGTTTGTTCTTTTTAATTAGTATATATCACTATGAGCAGATTTTACGCATAGTTGTGATAGCCCCAACTACTGACCCCGAAAAATTGATCTAGGAAATAGGAATATACCCGTGGCACCCATATACAGATTGTAGTGACTTTCTAAAAAATTTCTACGGGACCACTCATATGGCAATGTTAAAAATCAGTGTTTTTAAATTTGCTGTTCATATTTGAATGTGGCGGTATATCTAAACTGGCTTAACCAATTTGGTTATGAAGTTATTGGGTACATTAAAACCGAAGTACATCGAACCACAAGTGCCAGAGTAAATTATAATTGATAATTTTTTCCAATGAAGTATACAGCAAGCAGAAAATAAAATCCATACTTTTATATTTTGATAAACAACACGAAATTATAAACTGCGCAATCATAATAAAAAAAAGAAATCCAATTTAAAATTCAATTACGGAGTTAATTATTTTAAAATATTTACAAAATTTCAAAAACTACGTCTAATTACACCAAATGTTTACATAGGTATAAAAATATTATGTAACAAACTGTTTATATATTATACGTAATAAATTGACACTAGGTACATGTATTTGTTTATTTTTTTTTTTTTGAACACATTTAATCCTAACTTTACTATTCCAATTAAATAATTCAGCGTATACGTATAGAGGCGTTATTTATGAAATGAGGAAATATATTTTATAAGATATAAAAATGTATTAACTCATAACAATCATTATAGTTAAAAACAAGGTCTCGTCAATCAATTTTAACACATTCGTAATGTATGTATAAACGTATCAGATGCACAACAACGTTTTGTTCAATTTTGTTTATTGACACATTTTGATACATGGTTATTATAATAAAATATTTTACTACACGATATATTATGGTCAAAATAACGATAGTTGTAAACTTAACCCACGTGAGATTGCCCGATTCTGCCGATGAAATTGGAAGCCAGTTAAAAGTTTCAGATTTATTGAATTATTATAAAATTATAAAAAGGCGAAATATTCACTAGACGTTATTCTTATCTTTACACAGTTTATAATATATTACATTTTAAAAATATTTAACTTATATATTCAAATTAATATTGTTAATAATATGTATAGTTTAATCATAGTATTATCTGATACAATAAATCACAAAGTTGGTGTATAATATTAATATATTTGTTATGCAGTATGATAATTCCTATATTAAATCGTATGTGTAAGAGTTTAATAGCTATGAAATATCAATATTAATTAATAAGAACCAGCATTTTAAAATTTTTTTAAAAGATAAGCACAAAACCAAATCGTATGTTACGAATATTAAACTGAACTTTTATTTTATTAGAAATTAGAATTACCATGTACCGTATAATTGAATCACTTCTATAAACATTTTATCGTTTTGATGGCTTTCAAACTAATTATGTTAGGATACCAATAGCTGGTCTAGCTATATATTATAGGAATACATTAAATTGTATTTTTAAACTTATTAGTTTATAGATATATATCCTGTCGTTTAGTATAATAATTGTTGTTGTTATTATTCAAAATTGTTATTACATTACGTCTAGCAAACGAAAAAATGAATCTATAAAAGAAAAAAGGGTTTACTATTTTGTTGGTTTGGAAAAATATTCTAAAAGAGAAGCCGCATTCATTTTGAAAAATGTATATTTTATAAAATTGATTGTTTCTTTTTCTTATTTTAAATTTATTTGTTTATGTTGTTTTGATTTTATTTAAAGTTAACGCAAAAATATAGAACCATAAAAATATAATGTCTCTTGGAATCAATTGTTTAATACTTAATAGAATCAAAAACCTACACCAATGTGATCAAATTAATCGGAACTCACTGTATTTCTTACAAAATACAAATCATCATAATTTTGGACTTTATAAATGTCCATACATACAAACATTTTGTTTTAATATATTATGATATTTACTAAACTGATATCAACTTTTTGAAACTTAAAGGTATGATATTGTATGGCCATATGTGGTAGATAAAGGTTAGTTAGTAGGCATATGTGGTATATGAATTCTTGGTAGTGACTATAACAAACTATTCGGTTTCTTTATTTTAGTATTGGTATTAAGGGAATAATTATACAATTTGTTTTATAAAATATGCAATTTTTAACAATAAAACAGTTTTATAAATTTATTTATCCTAAACATAATTAGTTGAGAAAATATTTTCTTTTTTCTCGGCGGTAGCGTTAGAATTAAAATTATGAATCTTCTAGATAGGCACCTAATTCAATAACTAATTTATAAGTGTCATTAACGAGTTAGTGACATTAATGAAAACAAAAATGACAGTCTTACATTTAAAATAATAATATAATATAACAGAAGTTACTTATATTTTAATAGATGCCATTGTTGTAGTCTTATTTTTAATGAAGACGATTTACCAAATTATAGTTATTAACAACATAATAAAAATATCAAAACCAAAAACTTAATAAATCTAAATTCTTGATAAGTAACTCAGAAAACAGTAATAAATCACTGAGGATGTTTGTATAGGTACTTACTTAGTATTTCTTTGGTATGGGTACTCATATTCATATATTTTATTAATATCTTAAAATTACCTTTTTCTTCATTATGAATAATATGAATATTATAGATTCAATGGAATTTTAGCATGCTTAGATTTACACGTATTGGTAATTTAAATTAAAAATTGATTCACTTTCATGCAATTTTGTCAGCCATCAAAATGATGTACAATTTTATTTCTGGTCACATAAAATATGTTATGCTTATATCAATGCATATTTTTATAAGGAGCGACATTGGCAATGACTATATTGTTCACGTTTAAATCTCTGCTGTAGTTTGTTGAAAATTTATTTCATAGTTTTCCACATAAAAATACAATAGTAAGTTTATGTTTAAAACTGTATTCGAGAATATGGTAGCGAACTGCGCATAAACGAGTTTATATAATATTATACTAAAATATTGCACTTCAAATGGTTCAGGACTTTAGGTAAATCAAATTATTGTCGATTTCATTTGAATATAGTATGCCAGAAATATTCAATAAATGATTAATTATTGCATTATACATAAATTATATACTGCATAGATTATTGTATTATAGAGTTATATTTTACTAACAACGCAATGCTATATGTACAGAATAAATTAATTCATCGTAAAATCACCAATAATAATACCTAAAGTTTGTAATTTTAAATGGAAAAAAGTAGAAATTATATTTGATGAAACTGGTACACCGTGTAAAAATATTATTTTAGATGAGCTGTTTTATAGTAAATGCGATAAATTCAGTTAGTCGTGGTCTCATTGAATTAATAATATACTCGCTATGTTTTTTTTTTTTTTTTTAATAAACCATGACGACATTACAGACATTTAAAAACAATTACGTAACACAATAACACGTCACCCCCAACGTTTTAATAAATCAGTTGGCATGATTGTGGATTTTAATATCACAATATTATTTTATCGCAAACAACTTCATAAAATATATTTGAGCTAAATAATTATTACAACTATAAATTATATTTTTAACCAATTACGATAAAAATAATTACGTAGGTACTACATAGAAAACAAGGGGAAAATACACTTTACGAGGTTTCTCAACGCGTAGGTATGGGTCTGAATTAAAATATGACCAAAAACTAATGCCGTCGCCTTATAAAATTGAAATTGAATAATTACATTATTAAAACGGTTAATTTAATATCTTAACAACATGTGTTAACTAATACAGAAATTAACAAATTTAACAAATTAGACTAGCAAACGATTTAATTGATTTACCTTATCAATAATACTTTAGTATAATAAATATAACAAATGATATCATTAAGGGCCGACACTAAAATTAAGTGAGATTCTTGAAAAAAGTAAAATTTTATAAGAAAAGAGAATAATTTATTGAATAATGACTAACCTTTGCCTTTTTGTCTCTATTCAGCGTACGACGACATCTTGCACCAGTGCACTGTAAATAATAAAATAAACAAGTATATTATTACTAACATATTGTGTATATATTTTTGTCTTTGTTAAAGATAATTAACAATAACTTCAATTATACAAAGGGAACATTTCATTTCAATATAATTTGAACAATATTATTACCTTGATATTTCATAATTATCAAATACATTGAGATGAAAAGAAATCTTTGTTTTAATGATTAACATGTTTAACATAGTTCCGAAATTACATTATTTTTTTAATTAATAAAATGCTAATATTTTTACCCATTTACACAAAGTGTTTACTTAAGTCATTGTACTATAAATACATTTTTGAATCAGAAAAACAATATGTGCACAAATCTTAAGACTAATAAACTTATTTACTTTTGAGTTTAACAGTTTCACTGGGATAGTGGGACTGGGGTATATATACTTTATTTCATGGTGGGTTAACCATCTATACACAAATGTGCCCTTTTAATTTATATTAGCAACCTATAGAAACACTTCAAATGTAAAATATTTTTTGAAGTATACCGTGATGTACAATTCATTATAGGTAGGTAACAAAAGTGGTTTAGATTCTGAGCAGATAGATCACAATCACGAAAATATGTAAATCATTTTGCAGTTATTTTATTATTTTGATATTATTATTTATTTTAATTATTTTAATTTTAACCACTAACGCTTGAACATTGAACACAAGATTCTTCATAAGTTTTTTTTCTGAAAATTAAAAAACAAGTAAATTTGAAACCATTAACAATTTGTAACTCAGAATGATGATAGTTATATTTATATACGTATGTTTAAAATACCTTATATCACCGTTTTGTCCGTCCATTAGTTATCAGTACCTACATAAAAGTTACGATTGTTGATATTAAGGTATTTATTTATTATTCATTAAGTCCGTAGTTACTGTACTTACATAAACGTTAAATGGTATTAAAAAAAAATTGAAATCCGGGAATTTTTTTAAGTGAGCTTTCCTAACTTGTTTTTACCTAGAAATATTGATATAAAAATGTACTTTGTTAAAAATTCAAGTTCAAATGTTGATGAAATTGAATATTTAAACAAAAATAACGAATTTAGTTATAGTTTTGTAAATCAAAAATATTCATGGTGGGTTAATACTTAAAGTTAATACTTTTCACTACTACATATATCATTATTTAACAAACAAAATTAAATTTACAAAATACTTAAATTCATTTGAAGTTATTTATTCCATGAACCTATCCATGCGTATAGTGCATTCATAATATAAAAATACATTACTAAAATAGTAATATATATATATATGATATATATGTAAATATAATTAAATATCATTTGCAATATATAAACTAACACACCGTCTCCGCTCACAATTATTTTTCGTATTCAATGATTTATAAGACATGTACAACACATGTGTTTTTGAGTAAGTAAATGTATATACGTACACAATATAGTAGTACAGATAGTACAGTAACCTACTCATGACCAGGTACCTTTGACATATACTTTAAAGCTAAGTGATATCCCCAGAATTTTGAGATTGCCACGCCTCAAAAAAAAAAATTAAAAAAATATCAGTTGATATATCGACTAAGAGTAAAATAAATTGTAATAAAAACTTATTCGATATAAAGTCGTAGACAGGAAAAAACCTACTATGTGCAAAATCGGTGATTTTGAGGTTTTGGTATCTCTGTATTCAGAAAAAAATAAGATATTCATGGATAAAATCTCCAATGTGCTATCTGCATCTTAAATTAATAAATTCTCCTATGTGTTACTTACAATAACATACAATAAATCATTTATGAAATACCTCCTCCTCCTACGTGTAGCAAATATAAATCTATAATAAATGATGTGATTTTTTTTTAAGCGTTTTTTTCGTCTCCTGAAAATTTGGGTTTTAGCACATAGGATGTTTTTTCCTGTCAACGACGATAAGTCGATAAATTCAATTAAACTAAAAGGTTTAAATAAGAATATTATAATGATTAATTTCAAGCATATAACTATGCAAATTATATTCATTACGTATGGAATCTGTGTATGATTAGAAATAAAACGACACCTATATAGTAGAATATATAATGCATTATATAAAAATAAAAATAAATGAATAATAATAATAAATTATTCGACTAAAAACGTAATTTCACACAATAGGAAACTAATTAGTTGTACATCACGTTTGTCTACAATGAACTGTATGTATTGGTTAGACATGTACACATGATGTCTGAGTATATGTATGTAATACATATATGATAATTTATCCAATAGCTTATAAATTATACAGTAAGGGATTGCGTGTCAAACGTATTGTATAGAAACGCTCTAAAGTGGTTGCGTCTCGTGTTACAAACGGTACAAGTGTGTTTGCGCTAAGAGATTCACAAATACTCCTCACAATCTCCTTATGGAGGAGAACTCACAAAAGCGGCTATTTAAAAGTTTCCAAAGCACGTGAAACGTGACGCTGACAAAAAGGTATGGATACTGTTTTATATATGTACATTGTTATGCATATTACATTTATTTTACATATATATGAAATAGGGCAGAAACATACCATTAAGTGATACCCTGGTGCACCGAAAGGTGTATTTTTGGATAGGTGCGTAAAAGTCATTTTATTCTTTTTTGACAAATTTTTCAAAAAAACACTGAATTGTTTTTTTATAGGACACCCGAATATCATTGAAAAAAGTAATCTCCCATAAATTTTACTGATTTTTTTCGAACAATATTTTGTTAGGTATTGCTATAAAGATTATTTTTTACAATTTTACGAAAGCAACCATTCTAATGTATCAACCTGGAAATGTCTAATTTAAAATATAACTAATTACCTACATGAAACTTTTTGAATAGGAACTACCTACTTCGATAAAAAAAAAAAAAATTACAATTTATAGAAATAAAAAGCACATTTAATTATAATTTCAAATATAAAACCGTCAATTTCGAACTGAATAAAATATGATATTTGATTATACTCATTACGATAAACAATAATAATTCATACTTGTAATTATTAGTGGTAAGAACCGAATGTTTGAATAAATTAATAACTTCTCAGTAGGTATGTAGATTTTTAAAAAAAATTGTTTGTTGTGCTTGTACTGTATAATAACGATATATATAATAATATAATATATAAAATGTCTAGAGTATTATGTTCAGTACACTCCATGAGTTAATTAAAATATTTGAACACACCTAATCAACAAATCAGATATCTACCGTTTGTAAATTTATTGTAGCGAATATTTAAACTATTACACTTAACGTCCAATAGGTAATTTTAGAAATTAATTTAAATATCAATTAACGCGTGTTTCTACAATATAATCGTTTACGGTGGTTTTTGATTGCATGCAAACATAATACAATTCAATTTATATAACCATGGAGTATAATTTTTGCATCCCGTTCCATACAAAATATGTCCTTAATAATATCCTTCAGCTACTTATGCAGCAGTCATGATTCAAATTCAGAAATACTACGGTAATATAATAGGTAGGTATATCTAAAATATTTATAACACATTTGATTGACCACTCATATTATTTTTATTATTTGATTTGGAAATATAATTTCATTTGATCCAACATTAAAAATCTTTTATATTTATTTTTTTTTTTTCATAATATTATTCTTTATTTCAATTTCAACAATTTTATTTTTATGATTCCATTCTTCAAGTTTGAAAATATAATGTAATTTTTTATAATAATTTGTAACGCATTAAAAAAAAAGAAAATATAGAAACCAATTTATTGATTAATTAAATATTTACCTCTTTGTACTTATTTATTTTATTGTATTTTCATTCAAAGTTATTGAAATATCCTTAAAATGATAATTAACGATTTACTCGATTTAGGTAATATTTCTCATTGATATTATTAAATTGCATGATAAAAAAGTTAGTTAAATGTATAATTTGCGTCTTATAAAACTAGTTTAACGTCTCAACGTATAAAAATCTTTATACATGAAAAATTAAAATCTGTGCAATGTATACTTTTTTAATTTTTAAATATTCAACCATCTTCGTAAATAGGACTTACTTAAAGAAACAATTGAGGAAAAGCTTAAACTATACTAACATTCCTACATCTTACTACATGAATTTAATTTATGAGTTATATAATATTGTTTATATTTCTTTTTAATGTTATATTTCCTGGTAATATAAACTGCGCTAAACTGATACACAATAAATACTGTCTCCTATAAACGCATAAAGACGTACATATAGGGCATAAGAATAAAAAAAATGTAGAAGATATAACTTAACTAATGTCAGCACACAATTGCACAAAACAACGATAAGTACCTCCTCTGACTAGGCGTGTTTAGAGGATACCCGTAATTTAATAGTAGTTCTATATTAAATCAACAACGGTATTGGTAGCCATGGAAATGACATAATATATGATATATAATATTTACTATTAATATTTATCATATAATGTATAGCACCAATAGTTTAAACGTATAATTATTTATGTTTGTTTTTGCAGGTATATTAAATAATTGTATTTGACATATTTTTTTACAGAGGGGAACATGAATTATAGTAGACGGTATATTATTATGTTTTTACAATGATAAATTTATTTGTATAAAAAGAACAATTCTGTGTAAAATGCCATAGGTAACGGTAGGTATTAATACTATTCTATTGAATTTCTGCATCGACCGAAATAAATTAATACAGTTATGTATATTATTATGATGTTTAAAAATTCATACTTAAGTACTAGGTATGAAGTATGATATCTATGTACATCTCAGTTTTATTAAAAATACCCAATTGAACACATATATTATATTGCAAAAATAAATAAATGTATAGAACACCACGTATGTAAACCCATTTGCCAATCTTAAACTCGATCCACAGTGCCAACAAAAAAAAGTACAAACTGTCGTGTTGTCTTGCATTTATGTTTAGTAAATGTATAATGTGTATAATATATTACACACAATCGTA